ATTACCTGTCCTACTACGCCCATCATGTTCAGAAGTGAATTCTCATAAATTCCTGCTGATGAACCCACATGCCTCTTGTCAGACAGTTCAGTATAGCCACCTTTATTTGTAGGTGAACTCTCCCTGCAACAATAGTGCATCAACTCCCAAAAACAGTGAAACTGTGGTAAATCCCACATATTTACTCTGTGCTAACATTACCCTTTCTTCCTCTCCCACTTCTTCCTCTGCCCTGTGTCATTTTCCTCTTCCTTCTCTTCAGTCTTCCTTTCATAGCATCATTCCTACAGTTCATGAGTGTGTTCCTGTCTTCTGTAGTAAAAATGTAACATAAAAATCCATGGTGTTTGCGTCCCATTCTCCACCTCATTTCCCTGATCCCTTTGAATCAAAGTTGTTACTTATAACATTCACTGTCTACAGATTTTCTTCCCAATGATACTTTGTGACTTATTATAGTTGGTTTTAATGGCAACTTGCCACAAATTAGAAGCACCTTAGTAGGGAAAGGCCACTGCTTACTTTGATTGACAAGGGTTGTTTGAGGTACATTCAGGTTGCAGTGTAGAATTATTTAAAAGGGTTTTGGAAGAGATTCTCTTCTTTTTCCAGGGTGGCCGACTTTCCTTCACTGGAGTTGATTTGCCTTGTTGTTGATTTTGCTGCTGCTTCCTTCACTAACACCAGTATCAGAGTATCAAAGTTTCCATCATGGAACAGTAATGATGAGTGACTCTCCGAATTTCCTGGGCTTCAGGAATTAGATTTTGAACCACTGAGGCACTGGTCTTGAGCATTAACTTCTGGTCATATATCATCAGTGAGAAACAGCTGTTCTGGGACTATTCCCACTGTTGAAGCATTCATCCTCAATGACCCAGTACCAACTTCTCAGTCTCTCAGGAGTGATTTGATTGTCATTACATTTTTCCCTTCAATTTACGTTTTTTTAATTTAAATTAGAAACAAGGTTGCTTCACATACCAACTCCAGGTCCCTCTCCCTTTCCCTCCCCTCCTCCCATGCCTTCCCACTTACTCCTCCAATATCCCCTCATTTCCCCAGAGAGGGTGAGGCCCTCCATGGGGGTGTCCATTGTCTGTCATTTCATCCAGGGCAGGGCCTAGACCCACCCCGGGAGTCCAGGGTGAGAGTACATCTCTGATTGTTGGATGCGTGCCCAAAGTCCATTTGTATACCCAGCATAAATACTGATCTACTACCCAAGGCTCAATACATTACCTAGGCCTCCTCACTGACACCCATGTTCAGGGAGTCTTGATCCATCCCATGCTGGAATCCCAGCCATCAGTCTGGGATTCAAGAGCTAACCCTTGTCAGGTCAGCTGTTTCTGGGGGTTAACCAGCCTAATCTTAACCCCTTTGCTCATCAGTCCTCCTTTTCTGTCACTGGATTCCTTGAGTTCAGCTCAGTGTTTAGCTGTGGGAGTCTGCCTCTGTTTCCATCAACCATTAAATGAGGGTTCTGTTTCTTAGACTCACTGGTCATGAGATTGTAGGCTGGCACTCCCCAGATCTATGTCTAAAATTCATATATGATTGAGTACATGCCATGTTTCTCTTTTTGTGACTGGGTTACCTCACTCAGGATGATTTCTTCTAGTCCCATCCATTTGCCTGCAAATTTCAGGATTCCATTGTTTTTTTCTGCTGAATAGTATCCCATTGTGTAAATGTACCACATCTTCTCTATCCACTCTTCGGTTGAGGGGCATCTAGTTTGCTTCCAAGTCTGGCTATTACAAATAATGCTGCTATGAACCTAGTGGAACAGATGTCCTTGTTGTATGAATCAATAAAGTAGAAACTAGGAAAACAATACAAAGAATCAATGCAACGAAGAGTTGGTTCATTGAGAAAATCAACAAGATAGCCAAAATTAAATAAATTTATGTTTTTATTTAAATTAGAAAAATACATGCCTCACATGTCAATCCCAGATCCCTCTCCCACCCTTCCACCCTTGTCCTTCCACCAGCCATCCTCCAGCCCCCCACCTAACCCCCACATCATTTCCCAGGGAGGGTGAGGCCCTCCTTGGGGGGATCTCCAGAGTCTGTCATTTCATCCATGGCAGGACCTAGGCCCTTCCCCATGTGTCCAGGCTGAGAGAGCATCCCTCCATGTGGAATGGGCTCCCAAAGTTCGTTTGTACACCATGGTAAACACTGATCTACTACCCAAGGCCCCAGAGATTCAAATAGTCTGGATAAGTCACCTGCAGGCCTCTCAGCCATCATTCTGGGGTTCAAGAGTTCCCACTTGTCCAGTCAACTGTTTTTGTGGCTAAGCAATTCTCCAGATCCTCAAAGTTAAAAAAGTAACATTTAAAATTAAATTTATTGATTTTCTTGAATTAAAAGAATGTATATGCACTGAATGAGCTTAATACATATGTATACTATGGGAGAATGTAAATCAAATGCTCACATTTTTGTCATAAATGGGGTGTTAACTTCTGTGTTATATTTGATGATAGGGAATGTATAAAGAAGGCAGAATATGCTTTAATAGATCCTTATGAAGAAGGTAGGAATTAAAAAAATTGATTCTTGTCCATGCCTTCTTCTATTAGCAGAAGTGTAAGGTGAGGGAATTTTTGTCTGATATCTCATGGAAATGTCTTCTTGGACTTACACTAATTGGTTGAAAAGCAGTATGTACTAGCAGTTCGACAGTGAGGAAACATTTCTATAGAACATTTCTAGCTTGAACTTATTCTATGCTTGGCAAAATTTTTAAGCAGGTGTGTGTAATTCATGCATACTTGAGCTTGAAGGAAGTATGTTGCTTCTCTTACTCTCCCTTTACAATATCATCACAAAAGAATGTGTCTCAGAGAAAAAGTTGTCCTTCACTAAATCTGTATGAAATTTATTACCACCTTTGCATATCAACTAAAACAGTGAATGATGAAATTCTCAGCTTCACTTGTTATTAGTAAGTATAACATATTTAGAAAAACAATGTCTAAATCACACTAAATATGTTTTTCTAAAGCAAAATATTTGCATAATGAAATTGTATGTTGAAAACATGTAACCTTAGTGTACAGTTAGTAATTTACATACTACACTTTTTCATAGACAGGGAAGACTAATAAGATCACTTTTGCTGCAAATGATGTGACAAACTTTGAAGATACCCATGGAAGGCCTCACTCTCTCTGGGGAGCAGAAAGGAGAGGAGATAGGGGATCAGTGGGGGGCAGGGGAGGAGGGGAGGGAGAGGGAACTGGGATTAACATGTAAAACAAGATTGTTTCTAATTTAAATTAAAATAATAATATAATCACTGTCATTATAAAGTTTAAGAACATTAATTAGTTGACACAGTAAGGATACTTCAATTGAAATACTCTTATAACTATTCATAAGAACTGTGATATTACGCTACATAAATTAGAGGATGTTGATATTCTCTTATTCTTAATAATAAACCCAGGATTACTAATCACTCTCATTTTTCAAGATATACTAATAGTAGATGGCAGAGGCAGAATTTATTGTAAATAGTTATAAAAGAATCAATTGAGAGGTTATACCTTTAACGCAAGGTGTACTGGATGGCCTTGTTAAGTGTAAGCAAATCTATTTAATCTTTCTACCTTTAAGATCATGTTCCTTATATCACCATGTCTAGCTAGACTTTATACACATTCACCGTGCTCTTATCGGCAAGTGAGTGAGGCTGACACTGCTGTGAAGACCAGGTAAGGGATTTATAAATGCAAAGATAATCAATATGTAATGTCCTATTAGTGAAGGAAATTAAAAAAATGTTTTTTTGTTGGTCTTCCTTTTAAAGTTACAAAGTGTATTTTTGGGCTTCATAGTTCTTAAAAAGAATAACTATTGACAAGTTGTATATGTTTTATAACTTTGTCTTCTTGGAAATATCTTCAGATATAAGTTGAGTTTTTCATTTTTATGTTTGTTTTGTCTATGGAATCTGTGTCTTTCATATTGATCTATAACTTTAAAAGAGATGTATAAGAGGGAAGTTAATTTAGTTTGGTCTGCAGGTAAGTTCCTTGGCTTGTTTGAAGAATTATCTCAGATCTCTAACTCTGTGAAGTTGAGTGTTAGCTTGTTTCTCTGTTAGGGAAGCATAATGTCATTCCTAAGTAAGATTCACATTAAGTTATGGTAGAAGGAAGGATGAGCCTCACAAGGACCCACTGCAGTCCTTACGAGACATCTGCACAAGTCTGGCAGGTGTCATTGTGGTGTGGCACTTTTGTTTTTAAATTATGCACTTAATTTTATTTTTGTGTCTTTCAATTATAAATGGAATATGCTTCGTGCAAAATAATTGAAAGTGAGAAATTAAATGCAATTTCTGTATAGAAATTTTGTGTGTAAAAGGAGTCACCTGCTCCTGTAAATGCTATGCTTAACCCTTTTGTGAACAAGTTAGCAAATGCTGTATTTACTGTCATTACCTATGACAAAATTTGAATATTACAGTTTCTTTTCAATTATGTTAACTTCCTTCTTGCGCCTGTCAGATAACAAAAGCACAGCAATCATTTTTTTAGGTTTGAGTGTGCTTTTTATTTTTTTAATTGTTTTATTTCTGACAATATTGAGGCTGACCTTGATTTGGGATTCTCCCATCCAGATCTCCTCTGTGCTAGAGTTGTAGGCATGTATTATCATGCGCAATCATTCCCTTGATTGTATCCTCTTTCAAATTTTTCCCTGAGAGAGAAACCTAGGTGTGTAATGAACTTTAGGTCAAAATAAATAAAGTAAAAAGTTCTCTCCTTGTTTTTGACAGTATTTACTTTTAATCTATTTATTTATCAGCACAATTTCTGGCTTAATCCACAGCTTAATTCTGGGACAAAAGTAATCTAAACTTTAACCTCCATAGTTTGAGAAACTTCTTAATTTTTACTATGTTTCTGGGATGTGTATATGAAGACCAAGGTTTATGTTATGGCATAACACTGGTCTCATTTGTATACCCTGCTAATTTACACTTCCAAGTTTTCCAGAACACAAAATAAAGTCTGAAAAACAGGTCCCTCATGAAGACATCCTATGTTTATCCTCTGCTCCTCTGACAATCCTACCTAGAAAATGATATCCTGGGAACAATCCCTATCCTGAATGAGTGAAAAAAGATTTCCTGTCATTCTATCTCAGAACACTTCTCACTTGCTCTAGGTAAGAAAAGGGGAAGGCATTATAGGAGAATATATTTCATTCTAAACCTACTGTTTATTCTGACACTGTATTTGTTGATTAATAAATATTATTTCAATTTATATTCATTTGTGCTATGCATGGGATGGCATAAGTATTAATTCTATATTATATAGCTTTATTTTTTATGTAGTAACACATTTTATGTACCTTTGAAAAGTTTTATTTACTATATAAGAGATGTGAAAAACCTACTTTGCATTAATTTTCCAATTAATAAAGGATTTTTATCCTTAAATAAACTTAAAATAATATATAAAACAGGAACTGACTTCTTGCTAAAAAATGACTAACATGACTCATGAACAGTTTTTCAGTCTAGTTAATCATTATAGCTATTTTTTTTCGGTTTCTTTTTTTATCATTTTTTATTTTAATTTTAAATAGCTTGTTTTACATGTCAATCCCAGTTCCCTCTCCCTCCCCTCCTCCCGCACTCCCCTTCCCCCCCTCCCTCCCACCCTATTGCCAAATCCTTCCACATAGGGGATATCTAGAGTCTGTCATTTTACTCTGGGTAGGGTCCAGGCACTCCCCTAAGAGTCCATGCTGAGAGAGCATCTCTCTTTGTGCTATAGGCACACGAAGACAGTTTGTATACCAGGGATAGACACTGATCCACAGCTCAGGGCCCCATAGGTTGCCCAGGCCTTCTCACTGACAGTCACATTTGGGGGGTCCAGATCAGTCCCATGCTGGCCTCCCCACTGTCGGTCTGGGGTCCAAGAGCTCTCCCCTGTTCAAATCAGCTGTCTCTGCTGGTTTTGCCAGCCCATTCTTTGCCAATTTGCTCATCACTCCTCTCTCTGTCACTGGGTTCCTTGGGTTCAGTTCAGTGATTAATTGTGTGTTTGCCTCTGCTTCCATAAGTCACAGGATGAAGGCTCCCGGATGGTTATTTTTAAGAATGCATGTAGGTAACTGTGGATGCCTCTGGCACCACCAGAAAAAACTAAGGGCAATGGAATCAAATCTTTTGAAAATGAGAAAAGAAAAGAATGAGATTAATATATGCTATGCATTCTCCAATGTTTTTCATATTGAAGTGTTAGCATGTATCAAAGGTTGAGTGTGATGTATGACAGCTGTTTCTAACCTGGGTTAGCATAGTTTTTTCAGGCTATTCTTGAATAAAAAAATCCCTTCAAATATAAACTCTTTACAAGAGTCTTATTTATCATTCATTACATATCTTTCAGTACACTCTTTGTTCACTTACTTAGGAAATTTCTTCAGTAGTTGACAAAATAGTTACTCAAATGTGAGGAGAAAGTATTTATAGTTGTACTAAATGTATTTCTCTTTCATATGATTATGCTTTTGTCATAAACATGATTATACACTTAAAACAAAAGTTTTAGCACCAGTAATATAATTATATGAATGTTCTACAGCAAAAATAAGTAAATAAATAAAACTTAATGTTAATGTTCTTACACACCTGAATAGATTCTGGCCCTTTCAATTGACATTAACTAGACTTGAACATAAAGTTGAGTAGTACATGGAGTTGATCAGTTTAAGGAGAAAATTATCAACAAGTAGGGTGTGTAAACATGTGCCACAAGATCAAATTTGGAAGGTTCAAATGTTGGAATCACATTGAAAGTTAGGATACTTTACTTTAAGCCTGAGTCCTTAAAAAACTGCTGTTAATAACTCTTTGAAGATAGAGGATTATTAAAGCATATCAATTACTTAAACTAAAATGAGGCCGTATTTTTGTGTTTCTTTTTTACTAGAAAAGTGGAGAAATTTGTTTGTTCAGCATCTTCAGAAGTCTACAACAAGTCACATCATGTTGAGTAAAGTTTTGCTGTGGTCTCTTCAGATGAGTCTCCTAGGGATCAGTCTTGGCGGGAATGTTCTCATCTGGCCAATGGAAGGCAGTCACTGGCTAAATATTAAGACAATAATAGACGAACTCCTAAGAAAAGAGCACAATGTGACTGTTCTCCTTGCCTCCGGTGCACTTTACATCACACCGTCGATTAGCCCATCTCTGACATTCGAAATCTATCCAGTGCCCTTTGACAAGGAAAAGATAGATAGTGTGATCAAGGATTTTGTTTTGACATGGCTGGAAAACAGGCCATCTCCTTCAACTATCTGGAAGTTCTATGTGGAGATGGCTAAAGTCATAGAGGAATTCCACATAGTGTCCAGAGGGATCTGTGATGGTGTTCTTAAAAATGAAAAGCTGATGGCAAAGCTGAAGAAAGGAAAGTTTGAAGTACTGTTATCGGACCCAGTATTTCCTTGTGGTGACCTCGTAGCTTTAAAACTGGGAATTCCATTTATGTATTCTTTGAGGTTCTCTCCTGCCTCTACAGTGGAAAAACACTGTGGAAAGGTTCCATTCCCTCCTTCCTATGTTCCTGCAATTTTGTCAGAGCTCACAGACCAGATGTCTTTCACTGACCGAGTAAGAAACTTCATCTCCTACCAAATGCAGGACTACATGTTTGAAACTCTGTGGAAGTCATGGGATTCCTATTATAGTGAAGCTTTAGGTATGTAGCCATTCTTTTTTTCTTTTTATTCATTTTACATACCAATCACACTTCCCCTCCCTTCCCCCAACCCCTGCCCCCACCACCCCCCCCCCAACACACCCCATCCACTCCTCAGAAAGGGAAAGGCCTCCCATGGAGAGTTTACAAGCCTGGCACATTCAGTTGAGGCATGACCAACCCCGCCCTTAAAGGCTGAACAAGGCATCCCAACATGTGGAATAGGCTTCAAAAAGCCAGCTTATACAGTAATCCCACTGCCAAACATCCCAGGCTACAAAACTGTCACCCACCTGCAGAGGGCCTGGTATGCCCTATACAGGCCCGTCAGCTGTCGGGCTAGAGTCTCTGAGCCCACTCAAGTTTGGGTGAACTGTCTCTGAGGTTTCCCTGTCATGATCTTGACCCCTCCTCCCTCTCTTCAACTAGACTCCCATAGCTTGGCCTGGTGCTTGTCTGTTTTCATCAGTTACTAGATGTCAATCCCATGATGACAGTAAGGGTAGTCACCAATCCTATTACATGAGAAGGCCAGTTTAGGCAACCTCTCCACTATTGCCAGGGACCTTAGCTGGAGTCATCCTTGTGGATTCCTGGGAATTTCCCTAGCATCAGGTTTAACCCTGTTCTGGTAATTACTCCCTCTTTCAAGATATCCCTTTCCTTTCTCACCCACTCCATCTCTCCTCACCTCCACCATTCTGTTCCCTCATGTTCTCATCCCGCATCTCATCCCCTTTATTGCCCCCATACCCCCAGTTTATTCTTCCCAGGGTGATCCATGTATCTCTCTTAGGGTCCCCCTTGTTAGCTAGTTTCTCTGGAGCTGTGGATTGTGGTCTGCTTGTCCTTTGTTTTATATCTACTATCCACTTATAAGTGAGTACATACCATGTTTGTCTTTCTGGGTCTGGTTAACTCATTCAACATGAATTTTTCTATCTATACATCTGCCTGCAGACTTCATGATGTCATTGTTTTTAACCTCCGAGTAGTACTCCATTGTGTAAACGTAACACATTATCTTTATTCATTCTTTGGTTGAAGGGCATCTATGTTGTTTCCAATTTCTGGCTATTATGAATGATTTTTCTATGAACATAGTTGAGCAGACGGTATGATTGAGCATCCTTTAGGCATATGCACAGAGTGGTATTGCTGGGTCTTGAGGTAAAAATGGCAAGCTTACCAAAAACAATTTACAGATTCAATCCAACCATCAAAACACAATTCTTTACAGACCTTGAAAGAACATACTGAACTTCAAATGAAAAACAAAAACAAAAACAAAAACAAAATCCCAAACCTAGGATAGATAAAACAATCCTGTACAATAAAGGAACTTCAGGAAGAATCACCATCCTGGACTTTAAGCTCTACTACAGAGCTATAGTAAAAAAATACATGATGTAAAGTTGGAGGCATTATATTTATGAAGGGAATTACCTATTAATTGTACAGGAAAATACAGAGATATGTTAGAGGATATTTCCTTTGCTTGAATGATCAGAAGTGAGTGGTATTCTCAGAAATCTTTAGATTTCATCAGTAAACTGATAGATATAAAATATTAGTCTCCTTGAAAAGCAATCATTAGGCTAGAAATTGTGCCAAAGTTATCTTAACATGTTCTGGATATCAAGTATAATTTGCTGTTAATTTAGGTCAGTTTGAGAGGTGGAAGACGCAATAAATTAAAGTAATTTCAGGGTTGTTAATTCAGTGTGTGTGTGTGTGTCTGTGTGTACATGTGTTGGCATATGTACACATGTGACAGTGGGTTCCTGTTCATACCAGACATAAGTGGTTTACTGCTCTGATATTCTCTGCCTTATTCCTTTCAGAGAGCATCATCAAACTGAACACTTTCTATTAACAGCAAGCTCCAGAAACCCTCTTGTATTCTACAGTTCTGGGGTACAGACATGTGTATTCATATTCATAATTGTTGTCAAAATGAGTGCTGAAATCTGAATTTAAGTCCTGATGATTCTGCATCAAGTGTTCTTACCTGCTGAAGCAGCTTTCCAGATTCTCAATATATATTTTAGTAGTCGCTTGTACTATATTATACTATATATTTCAGCTTGGAATTGTTTAGAGGGATTTGTTTTGAATATATATATATACATATATATATATATAATCTTCCTTATTCCAGAAAATATGCAGTAAGACAACGTGTTGGGAAACCAGCTTAAAAGGGGTTAAAATCATGCATATAGAAGGTACATAAAAATAACACAGATAAGTAGTTTTTGACACATGGTAGGAGCTTACAGTTGTGTGAGCACAGAACAGTATTGCTTTATCTTTTCACTCACATTTCATTTATCTTATTTCTAACAGGAATGTTTAAATAAGTGACAAAATTCATGAATCAGTAAAGTTATATTACAAACTGAGAGGTACTACACACCCAATTGGTATTAGCTTATTAGATGCAGCTACTTAAGGCTGATGGATTCTTCGAGAAGATCAATAAAAATAATGTAAGATTAAAATAATTTCAGTATTTGTGATTTCAGTAAGTTATAAAAGACATGGTTGACTGAGGTAGTGATTATAGAAGAAATAAAATTCAGTAGTGTGAATATGTATTGTATTTTTGTATACGTGCTACTTTGTAGAAGATATGGCAATGTCCGATACCTAATGAGTTAAGTAGAATGGTATTTCAGAAAGAAGACAATAGATGCATTGGAGGCTGGAATCCCATCTATATGAAGACAACATTTGTTTTCAGACAGTGTCTTTTTTTTCCTACTTATCATCACATGCAGGTTGCTTGCTATTTTTGTTTTCTTATTAAACAGATTTCTGGATTTTCCAAGAAACAAGTGATTTAAAATCTTTCAATGGGTTTCCATGGTGAAAACAATTTTGGATATAATTATAATACTTTTGAGGTGCATAGTGATAGCAATGCATTTTACATGATGGTACATGCTAAATAACAGTATTCTATTTTATTGACAACTGAACTATTTTCAGTGAGAATGGGAAAAACAAAGAATGGATCTCACATTTAATGTAACACATGTCTTGTTGCTGAGTTCTGAAGTTTATTGTGTCTTTTGTAACATCAAATTTGAGATTGTGCTTCCAATCATCTTTATTAATAAAGCTGGTGAGATCCAAATTTAGTTTAAATCAGTGAACATCATAGCGTACAAGTGGAGAAATTACAGTGTTTCCCAGTTAGCCCTTTTATGACCTAGCAATACTCATTAGCTAATGAGTGAAAATATTGAATTACATCAAGCAGTTTTTAAAAATGTTAAAATGAAGAGTGCAAACCAATGATTCACAAGAATTTCAAAAGAGAGAGAGAAAACCCCTACAGGTTTCTTTGTAATAATACCCTGAACCCTGATTTCTTTCAAATATCCAATCTAAAATAATTGTAAATTTATACCTATTAATCAGAATAAATATTCACAAGTGAGGTTTGGATGCAAATAGAGGATACTGAAGTTGGATGAATATGACTAAAATCTGGAATGCAAATTTCAACTTTTTACTCTGTGTTAACTACATTTATCAGCTTCTCTGACTGTACTAACCTTTCTTCCATGACTCACAAACTGATGATCTATTTCAACATATAAATGACAACTTAGTTCTTTTGCCCATCAGAGACAACACAGATAGGTCTTACGACTATATGGGAAAGTATTAAGAGTCAAACAAATGGGCCACATTGAGCAGTCAAACAAGTTCTTTTTTTGTTTGTTTGTTTGTTTGGTTTTTTTTTTTTTTGAGACAGGGTTTCTCTGTATTGCTTTGGAGGCTGTCCTGGAACTCACTCTGTAGACTAGACTGGCCTCGAACTCACAGAGATCTGCTTGACTCTGCCTCCCGAGTGCTGGGATTTAAGGTGAGTGCCACCAACACCCGGCACAAGTTCTTTAAAAAGATGGAGAGGTGAAGAAAAGGAAAGATTTCATGGAAAAATGAAGCTCTATAGTTGGTTAAATCTCCTTTGTCTCTTCTTACCTATTATTAACAAATCATCCTCAACTTTATATTCATAGTTCTCATGATTACTGTGCTACCTGTGAGACCTGTGAGATTATTTGTCACTTAACCTTCTCCAGGATGGAGTTTCAGAATCACAAAGCCCATTGTTCTTTGCCTTTAAGTTAATGCTGATTATAGAATCATACTATTCTAGACACAGGGCAGGAAAGACTAATCTTTCTTAACAATTTGTTGTTGAGAAAACAATGAGGATTTATGTAAATGTTCTTACATACTATCTTGATATACAGCATCATGTTGCTAGTTGAATTACCCTCTTTTGACTCAGAATGCCTATATAAGTTTGTTTCTTACCAAGATATAGTAATCTGGTGATCTCAGGGACATGAACACTCATTTTTAAAAGATCAGGTAAGAGTAAAAAATATTGATATGCTGGAGTAATTAATTCATTTTAGTGCAATATTGTCATTGATGTAGAATAGTAATGAGAATGATGCAGGCAATAGATTTGGATTTCTTTCCAAACGGTCATGTTAATTTATCATCTACTTTCCCCCCATGTTCTAATATAAGTTTTTGTAATGGCTCCAAAGACATGCAGGTCTCAAATAGTCACAGCTGGAAAATACATGAGCCAAATTTCCCAGAGATTATTTCTCTGTGGAAAAATGTAATGAGAACCACAGAGTGGGTTCTTAGTCTCTGATAATTTCTAGGAATTGTATCTAACAATGTCAAAATTACACATTTTTCCAAGTCATGACTATTCAATTAATATTCATGGACCTGTAGCAATAGTAGCTAGCAATAATTAACTTACCCAGTTCCTACATGCTGTGGTAAAGGCTTTATAGTTTGTCACATATCTTTGTAAATAATTTATTCCACTTCTGAGCAAGGAAAATCATTACTAAAGATAAAAGTATTCAAGTTTCAAAATACCAGGCAGGTAAAAGTAAACTCATATACTAATAACCTAAAGAAATAATGTTCATATTAAAGTTTCCTATGCCTTCTCACTTTTAGACTTTTGTCCTGATTTGTTTTTGATAGCTTCATACACTCTTACTGCATCTATCGTATCCCTACCTCTCCCTTACCCTTCTCCTGTCTTCCCCCTCTATTTTCCAGTCATGGTATTTGTCAATAACTATTGTTACATGTATATACACATATATGTATTTATATATGTCTAAAGTTCATTTCATGTTTTCAGAGCTCACTACTTGGGATTTATAAACCAAAGCAGGAGCTCTTCACTGAAGGAAACTATTCTGCTTCTCTTGGGTGCAGTTAGCCACCTGTAGCTATTCATTTAGGGGTGGGACCATATTGAATTCATCCTGTTTATACTGACATGTCAACTGATGTCATTATTCTGTTCTTGTTTAGGCAACCATATTGTTGAGATTTCATGAGCAGATTTCCCTGTTGTGTCTAGGGGAAAATGTTTGGCAGCAGGTTTCCTGGATCCCCTGCTCTTACAACCTTCCCACACCCTCTTTTTTATTTTCACTGATGCTTATTTGTAGAATGTATTACACTTGCATCAGTTGAGTTTGGACTGTCTCAACATAATAAACCCATGGTCAACATCATTCTAAATGGAGAAAAGCACAAAACAAAATTCACTAAAAGTAGATAACTACAAGTCTGTCCACTACCCCTGCTCTTTCCAATGCTGTGCTTGAAGCTCTAGCTATAGTAATAAGACAAGGGGAGTAAATTAAAACACTGCAAATAGGAAAACAAATCAAGTTACCCCTATTTGCAGATGGTACTATAAAAGATCCCCAAAACTGCATCAGAAAACATAAAAATGATCAATAGTTTCTGCATAAAAAATAAGTAACCTCATGAAAATAAGTAGTCTTATATAGTATATAGTATATACTGACAAAAGGCATAGGAGCTGAAAGAACTCAATGGTGAATGATGTGAATATCTGAAGGAAGAGATACGAAGAAGCCACTAGAAGATGAAAAGACTGACTCCCCATGCCCATGGATAAGTAGAATTAATATTGTGAAAAAAAACATGCTACCAGGAGCAATTTACAAATTCAATGAAATCCTAATCAAAATTCCCATGACATTCCTAAGAAATAGAAAAACCAAACCAAAACTAAAATAAAAGTCATATAAAATCACAGAAAGACTCTGAATAACTAAAATAGCCCTAAGCAAAAAGCACCATACTGAAGGATTACCATATCAGACTCAAGAATTTTTATTCCAATTTAAATTTAAGATAGAAATCAATCATTTAACATAGTTTTGTTTAAACATTCTTAGATATTTTCCTTTAATTTTTAAAAATCTATTATTCTGTCTTTTGACTGTTTTTATTTGATGCATGAAGTTTAATTACCTGTGTTGTTACTATGCTATTCATTATCCCTTAAGGAATAGCTCTCTGTGGCTTTCTGATGTCTGAGATCTGTTGTCTGGGATATATTTTCTAGCTCTAAGAGTCTGGTGTAAACACTCTCTAGCTGAAAATAAGAAAAAGGGTCTGAACATTTCAAATATGATTGCTTAAACTTGACACAGGTAAATTTTTTATTTATTTTTGTAATACTTTCCAAAACCACCAAAATTTTGTAATATTTTAAAGATAAAATAATATAAATATTGCATAAGAGTGAACTACATAAAATCCATTATGTATTTAAGTTTTATGCTCTGACTACTTCAAAATAAGCAGGAATTTGAGGGAGTATCTTTTATATATTTAGGAAAATACACTACATATAATTACATAACATAGTATTACATATAAAATTAATTGAGAAATTTGAAATAGCAATAAACTATTTTAACTAAATGTCATATTCAGATATTTATTTGAACCAGATACTCATGGAGGCTAAATAATTAATGTTAAATAAAGATTTAAAAATTAATAAGTAATTTTATCTAGCTAATGGTACTTTCATTTTTAAATCAGACAGATTGGATATGAATTCTTTTTCCATGTATATAAATTTAACTCCATAAGATAATACCTACAAACATCCATAAATAAACTATATTTGCATGTTTTGAATTTGAAATTATGGAATATTTTGGTAGCATATGAAACTAGAGGACAAAATATATCAGATGCCTAAAGCAGTTCTCACAAGATAAATTCTTTACCTTCCAAGTATAATTTCTAAACAAAGGCATACATGCATTGCTGTTAACTAAATGCATCATTTATCAGAGAGTAACAAAGTCATTTGCTAGCTAGCAAGGATCCTTTAAAAGTAAAAAACTCAGCCTAGATACAGTGGGGAGGGCCTAGGTCCTGCTCTAAATGATGTGAGAGATTTTGATAATCCCCCATGGGAAGCATTACCCTCACTGAGTAGTGGATGGTGGTAGAATGCAGAGCTTGCTGGTGGGAATGAGAGGACAGGAGCGAGAGGGAACTGGGATTGATATGTGAAATAAGATTATTTTTAATTTAAATAAAAATTAATTTAAAAAAGAAGGAAAAGAGAATTGCCTATAACAAGAATGTGGGAAACAATGACAAATCACTCAGTGTAAAGGGGTCATTCTCGATACAATACTAACGTACTCCACCTCTATACTAATGTACTCCACCACCAAATCAATCTAAAACTTCTAAAGCTAGTTGTTGGAGGAACTATCCAATAAATCAAAGTTTTTCAGGTTTTTTCCTAATTGTGAATGATAATGCTGGTTCATCAGTGAGTCAAATAAAGCTATGAATATACTCCAAGTCAGATAACTTTGTCATGTTAGTTTTAGGTTTCTATTATGGTTCTCAGTGAAGTGAAGGAGATAATGCCTGACACACAATGGTCTAGTAAGATGATGTATACAGAAATGGCTTATAATGAGGACACACATGATTATGATTTTTACAAAGTGGATCTGGCATCACAGAACACACAGACACATTTAATAGCTTCTTTTCATTACGCTTGTTTAAGGGCTAAGAGAATTGTACCAGCCCCTACAGTGGGTCCTAAAGGTGAAATGCTTCTCAAGAGGAAAGGAAGGAGATAAAAGATTTCTGTAGGAACTTCTCACACAATCATTCTCTTTATGTCATGTGTTCTTTATTGTTCTGTTTCCACTCTAATAATCCTGTCCTACTTCTAACTTCTCCATGCTTCTTCTAGTTTCTTCTGTTCTAAAGACTCTTATTCTTCAGGTGCCTTGAAATGATAAAGAAGTTTCTCTCATTGGTCAAAAGTACATTCCTAGATCAAGTGATAAGGAGCTGGGCCATTTACTATGACAATACAAGGGTCCAAGGCCATAGGAGAAAATCCATGACCGGACAGGGGAGGGCACAGTGCTCAGTGATAACTTTAAGGCACAGGTCTATTGTTAGTAGACTGGCAAGTGAAGAATTAGCATGCTTTTCTTAGTAACCTTGGTAGACACCTGTGAATCTGGACTTGTGCAAGCTGTAAAGTTTTCCTTTTACAAAAAGTCATTAGTCTACTTTGAACTTTCTCTGAGATTAAAATGAGCTAATAGTGTGTGGTAGTCTGAGCAAGAGAACAAAACAGGCTGTTAAGAGTCTGCAGTCCTTGTGGGACAAATAGATCAGGTTATGAAGCATGTCTCAGTGTATATTCAATATATCAAAATAATACAGCTAAATGAAAAGTCATCTTCCAGACCTTCCACAGAATATGTGCCGAGGAAACAATTAATACACTGTAGGGTTGTGTGAAGAATCCCTTAGCTGTAATGTGAGGGAAAGAGCTCTTCACACAAGAAGTCGGCACTGAGAACAGCTTAACACATTCAGAAGGCAATATACCTTATCACTTTGCTGAATAAGGTATCTCCATCCATGTGTATCTCTGGTGACAATATTCCTCATAGCCCTGCTAAATAAGGTCTATATCTCCATGAAATATGCATCTCTGATGGGAAGACAAAGGAAGTAGGTGCTGAACTCTTGCTGCGTAATTCTGTTGTCTGTAGCACACTTGGACCCAAACTATAATCATGTGGATGCATACTAAGTTTGATTATGTAAAATTCTTCTTAACTTATAAAACAATTGGCCTATGAATGGGTGTAACTAAATTATCGTATTCAATATTATTTACCTGAAATCTACCAATATGCATTGAATTTTTCTTTTTCATCTTAAAAGAGCCACAGTAGGTAGCTTCCCACGGTGGATGCCACCATGATTAAGAAGTTTTTCCAGCTGCTTGTTTTTCATTTGGCTCTGACTGAAATTGTGCTCAGCGGGAATGTGCTAATTTGGCCTACAGATGGCAGCCATTGGCTAAATATCAAAACCCTTCTTGAAGAGCTGATTCGAAGAAATCACAGTGTGACTGTACTGGCTTCATCAGAAACTCTCTTTATCAACTCCAGTCCTGATGCTTTTGTGCATTTTGAAGAGATTCCAGTTTCTTTCACAAAAAGTAACATAGATGAAATGATTGAACACATGATAGCCCTGTGGCTAGACCACAGACCAACACCTCTCACCATGTGGACTTTCTACAAAGAACTAGGAAAACTCCTTGAGACTTTCTATCAAATTAATATTGAACTCTGTGACGGTGTACTAAACAATCCCACACTAATGGCGAGACTTCAGAACCGGGGTTTCGATGTGTTAATAGTTGACCCAGTAACAATCTGTGGCGATCTGGTGGCTCTGAAGTTGGGAATTCCATTTGTGTACACATTGCGCTTCTCTCCAGCCTTTACAGTGGAGAGGCACTGTGGGAAAATCCCTGCACCGGTCTCTTATGTACCTGCAGCCTTGTCAGAGCTCACTGACCAGATGTCCTTTGGTGAAAGAGTTAAAAACACCATATCTTACTATCTGCAAGACTATATTTTTCAGTCCTACTGGGGAAGATGGAATTCATACTACAGCAGAGTTCTAGGTGAGTCTCAACTTCCTCCTGTTGATGACGCCAGGTACTATCATTCTCACCCATTCCGCTTACCCCTCTGGACGAACCACAACAAGTGAATGCACTTGAAATATCTCTATGAGTCTTAAATTATTGTTTTTGTTTAAGGAAATTCTTCAAAAAATATTGTGTCAGTATGAATTTGTATGCAGCTCTCATTCACTGGAAAGAAAATGTTTTTAGTCAGTAGCTTTCTAATGTTTAAATAAACTTTCACATGCCAATGAAATCTCCTTTACTAAGGTAAATAATGACATAAGCACACAACCAAAATGGAAAATATTATGAAAATATACAATTCTTCCATTCCTCAGCCTTTATCTGTAAAATAAAATACATTAGAAAGCATGAAATATCATCCTTGGAAAACCCACATTTACATCCTAGCCTGCTGTTCTCTATTTGTCCCAGACATCTCAGGAGGTATTAGCCCTTTCTCATCTTGATGCATCTGTATCTTCTGTGAGTCTAAAGCCTTTTGGCCTTAAAGGTTGCTTTTGAGAATCAATAAAATAAAATAATGTCAACTGAGAAAGCCATTTATGGATGGTGGCTTATATTACTGTTCTTTCTGAAGCTCGAAAGATATCTATATATACATATATACATACATATATATATATTCATGGGAGGAAATATATATGAATGGCTTTCCTCTAGATATGTTAGAACTCAGGGGAATTCATTGCTTCATAGATTAATGCTGGATGCTGCCTGTGGCATTTGTTTCAGAAGTTAGGTACAAATCATTCTCCTCTCACACACTTTTTGCTCCATTGTACCTCTCTCTATTCTCTTTTTCTCACCTCTGTTTTCTGTGTGCAAAGGAATATTTACTGAACATAAAATAGGTGCCAAATAATTTCCTATGTATGAGAAATATAACAAGTTTAAGACATATATTCTAAGTTCAGAATGTATTATATATAAATATAACAAATATGTTAGCCTGTGATATGTGCCATGTGGTAGAATAAGAAAACAGATGTTTTGAAGTGGAACTGAAATTGAAATTGTAATATAAAGAGGGGCCATCGAGGGTATCCAAAGTAATAGTGACATTCAAACAAGGCTCCAAGAATGTGGATTGCTTTTCCTGTATCAAAAGTATTTCAGGCTTGAAAGGAATTACTGGCCACAGAATGCTATAAGTCCTGGAATTCTATTTGACTTTACTGCTTTCTATCACAGATAAAATCATTTATGTTTTGCTTTTTGCGTGTGTTGGATGTCCTTTAACCAAATTTCCACAGTAAATTTTTTAGCTTCTTCATTAAATTTCATAAAGATATTCTACTTGTCATGAAAATAAGGTAAAGTATGAAATTTAATTTAAAACCTTACATGATCTCTGAAGGCCTGGTAACTAGAAACTGGCAAGTTAAAATGATTCATTTTTATATTCTGTAACTTAGAATTCTATTGGAGGCATTTTAGTTTATGCCTCAAAATCGCTTCATTAGATTTTTTTTCATTTTTTAAGTTATGGCTATATGGAAGTATGTGTGTGAATACTCATGTGATGTGCACATGTGTGTGGTTCCCTGTGAAGGCTAGAGTGGTAGTGTGCTCCTGGATTTGGAGTTACATGTGAGTGTGAGCTACCTGGCATAGATGCTGGTAACTGAATATAGGTCTTCTGAAAGAATTTTTTATTGTCAATTTTTGTGTCATCACTCCAGCTCCTCAAACACACATTTTGTTTTAGATTTTAGCATCAATATATGGCCATTTCTCAACTTTTAAAACATGTTCTGTAATAGCTGTAATTTGTTGCTCATGTTTGCATCACACACTGAGTTCCACAGGTACTAAATGAGACGACCCTGTGCCTTCCTTAATTCAGTGAATTAAATAGTATGATAGTAAAGGCTTTGGGAAGCATGTGAGTTTTCAGATAGAGATCCATCTTGTTTGGCCTGATATCAGAGACATGACTGATTGAAGACTTCAGTCAGAGTCATTTAATTCTCTATAAGTTGGGTTAATAATTTCCCTTGACCCTAAGATGATACAGATGCATTGTGTCACTTGTAAAAATTAAGGCTGAATATAGTTTACACCATACTATTCATTACCTTCTGAATGGCAGAGCCATGATTACATTCCCCTGAGGAGCTATCCTTAAAAACTAATGAATGCGTATCTGCAAAATAACATAAAGCCTTTGCCTTGCAAGTATGAGAACTTGAGTTCAGTACCTGGAACATATATTTAAAACAAACAACAGTGATGACAAACAGACAAAACCAGCCATGCATGGTTGTGCATACTTATAGTACCAATGCCCTGGAGAGTTGCTGGTCACCCAGTTTAATCCATTTGGCAAATTACTGGGAGATTCCAGCTCAACAACAACAACAAAAAGTATGTAGCACCTGAGAAATGACACCTGAGGTTGATCTCATGTGTACATAAACAGACAGACACAGGCAGAGGCAGCACATGACCTTATATGTACATACAGAGATGCATGCAGAGGAAGAGGATGACTACAAAGAAAAGCACATTTTGCATGTAGCAGGGCACCTATACATATGGGTTCACACTGATTGCAACAATACAGACAAAATCCGTGCAAGACAAAGCTTTACCTGGTGACAGGAGTTGGTCATGAAATCTCAACCCTGGAGTCATTGGCAATTGTTGGCTGCTAGAAAAGAGAGAGAGTTTTCTCTCAGAGTATAGTAACTCTACAAACTCCTAGAAGACCATGCATTTAAGAATAGTATGTCAGCACACATTTATCTAGAAGGATTTTTAAAAAAATAGGACAGAAGTTGGGTGAGTATGGAAGAGGGGGATCTGGGAAGGACTGGGTAAAGGGTGAAAATGAGCAGCCCAAATTGTTCAAAACTCTCAAAGAACACATACAGGGCGAGAGGGGTTTCGAAGTGGAGCTCAAGAAAGTTCACTGTGAATTATTTAAGTCTTTTGATGTAGTAGACTGGTAAGTCCTAGTCTTCTTTGAATAACTGATGGTTTTATTGGTGACCATTATGGAGTTAGTTGAGAATAATTTAAAAGTCTTTTCAGTTTCTAAAACTGCTATTGCCCTGTGTGGTAAAAGTTAAACTTAAAATTGAAGAAGAACATAAAATAATAAAATAAAAATTTCAAAGTGTGTGGCTTCTGGTATGTACTAAGCCTTTCACCTTAAAGTAAGCCATAACAATGGTATAATACCCATGAGAGCCTCTGTGTCTTCTTACTTTACTTACTTCCTTCCCAACTTCTTATTTTACAGGATAATGATCTAGAGTTACAAATCCTACCATTCAAGAAATTGTTTGTTAATTACTTAAGACGATTGTTTTCCTCGTGTTACCAAACGTCTTTTTCCATTTTTTTGTGTGTGTGTACCTGTGCCATGGTGTGCAGGAGGAGGTTGTAGACCAATAGTTTGAGTTGGCGAATCAGTTCTCTCCCTCTGCCAAGTGAGTCCTGAGAATTGAATCCCGGTCCTTAAGCTTAGTGGCAAGTGCCTTTACCCACTGAGTCATCTCTCTAAACATCTCTGAACAGGAAATATTTTAAGTAGGAGTACAATATCCAAAAGGGTAATATACAATGAGTTCTCTTAGCAATTGTTTACTTTTTACAGTATCAGAGATACCCAGTGTTAATAAACTGACATTAAAATATATAAGTACATTATGATGATGATGAGCATAAGAGATTTTATAAAGTGTTTCCTGCAGAGTTTCCATTACAATGTTATCCTTCTATTCTTTAGGGAAAACATAGAGTAGAAAAGTTGGACTGCGGTTACAGACTCACACATGTTCTGAGGGGACAGAAATGAACACAAGGACGTATTGAAGTGAACTCATACAAAAGCCTATATTCTGTATCAGCAGGGTCATAAATTTTATGACCTCACCATCACACACCTGACACTCAACAGAACAGGAGTATCAGGAATGTGACAACCATTATTGTTCATTTCCAGGAGTGCATGTAGCAATTGCTGTTCATCATGCTTCCCTTTGCTCCTTATCCTCTAGAGTGACTGCTCTCTCGTCTTTATATGCATTTCAGTCTTAACGCTACTGTGTTTTGGCATAGACAGAAACCTCTTGTCCCAGAACCTCTGTGCCTTCCCAGCATCAGATTTTATTTTCCCAAAGTAAGCTAACTAAACTGATTCATTTCATTTATTACTTAGCCAAATGAGTTCTGTCATGGCAACATATCACAAAACAAAGCGTGAGTTTAACAAGGGAAGGATTTTGGTAAGTTATCAAGTCTTCTTTTAAATTTTGTTACCTAAATATTTATCTTGTTCTCAAGTCACATCTTTAAATGCATCGTCTTTGCATTTACTGAGACTGATAGATAGATTATTCAGATGGATACTGTTAACTGACCATTAGACATGCTTATTACCTTAAAAATACTTCTACAAATGAAGACAATCAAAATGGGGCTTGTGAGAGTGCTTAGTCAGGGATGGGCTAACTTTACAAGTATGAGTTTGTTACTGATCCTCAGAATCCACAAAAAATGCAGGACACAGTAGCATACACTTCTAATACCAGAGCTCTAGAGGTAAAGACAGTTGGATTCATGGAGCTAGCTAGCACACAAAAACAATTTAAATGTCTATTGGGAAATCACAGGCAAAGAAAATTATGGTTTATGTTAGGCTGAATATCAAACGTACTGAAAAGGAAAAGTATATTATTGTAACTCATTGAGTGAAAATGGAGCTTGTTACAGTTTGTGCATTCGGCTTCACATAGAAAGACAACATTAGATATCACCGTGTGAAGTTAAATATAAAGTCATCAAAATTACAGAGAAACAATGAGAACTGATAACTTCTGGGAGCTATACACAGACTGGAATTGAAAGGTATCAGGAAAAGGTCCAGTTACAAAAGTGAATGTGTCTTTGAGATATTCACACCATCGTGTAGCAGTTGATTGTAATGTATTATATACCACAACATTTTGCTCAGTGCACCTATCCCAGCAGGGGGAATCTCTGTGTGTTTGAGGCCAGCCTGGTCTACAGAGTGAGTGCCAGGATAAGCTCCAAAGTCACACAGAGATACCCTGTCTAGAAAAAAACAAAAACAAAGTAAAAAAAAAACTTATGGAATTTAACAATGAGGGGAACAATATCGGATAAAGGAGGAACCAATGTGAAAAAATAAAACTTGAATATCAATTTATTTTATTGTAATAATTGAATAGAATATAAAATGAGGTAATAGAAACAGATACACATAAGTGAATAAGCAAGTTTCCACTAAATTACCATTAATAATTATAATAGCAACAAAAAGTAAAATTTATGCTTACTTACTGATGTGAAACTGTATTACTAGCACTTAATTTAACCAATTCATATCTGATATTAGCCAATAGGCATATGTATTTAAATGGTATAATTTCATAAGCAAAGGGTATATGTACTATACACAGACAGTAAATTTGGTAATATATTATTTATGATTTATTAAAGCTTGCCTGAGGATTCAGAAAGGAAAGTCAGCCGTAAGCTATAGAGATCAGGCAGTGGTGGTACACACCTTTAATCCCACTGCTTTAGGAGATAGAGGTAGACAGATCTCTGTTAGTTCAAGGACACACTGAGCTATAAGAAATGTATGAAGTCCTAATGACAAACAGCTCACACAAAGATGATCTCAGCACTGGGACCACACACCTTTAATCCCAGGACTCATGAGAGGCATTTAAGACAGAAATAGGTTTTCAGAGTGAGCATTCATTCTCCAGCCACATTAAGGATAGGAAGAAATTGATATCTTTAGCCATGTTGAAGAGAGCATAGCAGTCTGAGTGTATCTGAGGTGTGAAGTTGGGAGCACTTTGAGGATCACCCCTTGAAGTCTGAGCTGAGGTAAAGGTATGAGCTAGTGGCTGGCTGTTTTGCTTTTCTGCTCTTCAGTTTGAAGCTTGAACCTAATATCTATCTCTGGGTCTTTTATTTGTTGTGCAACAAAAAATTGACAGATTTCTCTCCCTTTTGTGGTTTTATAATTCTAAAAGTTAATATTTCACTTGCTTCACATTTAAATTGCCACTTCAATTGAATAGACACTCAATCTCTACAGAGTAGAGTAGGAGGCCCAACAGTGATTTCTCAGAAATGGACCATGACAATTCTGTCACTGTGGCTCTGCTGTGACTCTGCTGTGGCCCAGCTGTGCTTCTGCTGTGGCCCAGCTGTGCTTCTGCTGTGGCCCAGCTGTGCTTCTGCTGTGGCCCAGATGTGCTTCAGCTGTGGTCCAGCTGTGCTTCTTCTCTGGCTCTGCTGTGCTTCTGCTGTGGCTCTGCTGTGACCCAGCTGTGCTTCTGCTGTGGCTCTCTTATGTTTCTGCTGTGTCTCAGCTATCCTTGTACTGCAGCTCTGCTGTGGCTCTGTTGTGGCTCCACTATGGCTCAGATGTCCTTCTGCTGTGGTTTTGTGGTGCTGATGATGATTTCCATGACAAGGTCATTGAATGCTTTTAGGGTATGAGCCATTGGTTCAAACTAAAATCCTCTTCGCAAGGAGCTCACTGATAGGAGGCAATGGTGATTGTTCTGACTTCTCAGAATATCTTCCCATATCACAGCACGTCAAATGTTCTGCACTGAAGTTTGAAAGAATCTCTGTGCTCTATGAGAATGAGATCACTGAAAATTCACTATGTGAGCTTATAGACCTAGCTGTGAATGCAACATTTCCACTTTGGCAAGCAGCAGAAGAAATGCAACGTATCATTCTCCTAGCAACTGGGGCATATGAAGCTCTCACTAGAATGCTTTGTGATACCTCAAAATATAATAGATGTTATCAAAATATATAAAAGCTACAAGTGAAAGTCAATTTAATATAAAATGCATTTTTATCATAATATTTTAATTCTTCATTTTGTCAATTTGGTATGTTGTGATTATTGATTATTATGTGGTAGGCTATTTTTATATATCTCATTAAATAGTTTATGACTTTTGGAAATATATTTCTCTTATTTTGTGATAATGTATTATTATATCACTCCATTAATTTCCCCTTAAATCCATTCCATGTATGTCTTTCTAATCTCTTTCAAAATCATGGCCTATTTTTCATTAATTATAACATACTTATATGTATATTTTTGTGCCTATATATTCCTAAATACATAAAGACAACATGCTTGGTCTGTATAATATTACGTAAATATGTTTTCAGGGCTGACCACTTGGTAGAGAAAGACTCATTGGTGTGCTTATCTCTGGGAAAGATTATTTCTACTACTTTTAGCATTACTAATAATTCTTGTGTAAGGCTGAGGCCTCCATGTCTTTTCCCTGTCCACTTTGTCATGTCTATTGTTGTTCTTGTTCAGCTCCTGTTTGTGCACTCTTGTTGGTAAGACTTATGGTGCAACATCTGACATTACTAGAAATTCCAATGTCACAGCAAACTCCCTAATCCTTTGGCTTTTACAATCTTTCTGCTCTCTAAGTATGTTAAAAGTGTACGTTAGGAAGTGATTTGCCAACAGTTGTAAATATTTGTCTTTACATTCCATGGGCTTCATATTTATAACCATGAATCACTGATTTGGGTGTGTGTGTGTGTGTTTGTGTGTTAATATGTGAGGGGGCTAGAGAGCATCTGCTGTCTTCTATTATTGCTCTCACCTCAATTTTAAGATAAGTTCTCACTGAGTTTTGATCCCAATTTGGCTAGTCTGGCTATCACATGAGTTCCCAGCATTCATTTATCTCTAAATCCTCAGAACTGAGATCACGGGCATGTACAGCTTTTTATAGAATCATAAGAATACAAGTTCAGGGCTTCTTGCTGCCAGACAAATTACACTGCTGTCTGTGTCATTTCCAAGATCCATGTATGGCTGCTTTATCATAGAATTCAGCAACAATTGTAATTGCTTGTTAAATCTAGGCATATAAAAGTCGCCTACTGAACTTATTCTAAGGCCTGGGAGAAGTATGCTTAGCATAAAGCAAGGAAGGGATATAAACACTTTGGTGGGGAGCTATGAGATGGTTTTAATGCACTGCCTGGAAACTCCAATTTCAGTATTCTTTGCTACCTAATTATGCCATCAGGCTGTGAGTTCATGCATGTGTCAAAACAATACTAAATTATGACCATTAAAAATTATGCCCATCCTCCCTGCACAAGATCAACAGATTTATATAAAAAGATTGTCATTGCATGTTTCTTTTTTCACTTGTAGCACATGTCTTCTTTGTGTAGAATTGCCTACTATTAGTATTTTAACATAGTCATCTCTAAACAGATCTTGAGAGTAGTATTTAATATTTTTCCAGTTCCACTATTTTTCCTAAACAGTAAGTGTAACGAGATTTATTAGTGTTCTCAATATTTGTATCACACATTTCAAAGTGTATTGTAGTAAGAGAGAATTAATCAGGACTTTGTGACTGAGAAAATACTGACAAATTATTTGCAGAACAAGAATATTCTAACATTATGCTGAAAATGAGACTATAACACTGTGCATGATAGAAATTAGTTACTAGCTAGAAACTGGAAAACAATTGGGGGGTGACAAGTAGTTAACAGGATATAAATAATCTACTTTCTGTTGCTTATTAGAAGAAATTATTGTGGGATTCATCCATAGTTGTAGCTACACTTATATTTTTGTTGATTTATTGTTAGGAGATGGTACTTGTATAGTATATTACCTACCTTTCACTACCCCTGAATCCTCTTTTTCACACTGTCCTTTTCTTTTAAAATATAGCCATGACAAGAATCCTAGTTGATCTAAGTTTTCTTCCCAATAGTTTATAAGGAAGTGTGACACCTTTTTACTTAGAAAACTTGACTTCTAATTCCCTTTGTGCAATATTATATGTACTCTTCAGGAAGACCCACCACATTATGTGAGACTATGGGGAAAGCTGAGATATGGCTGATGCGAACATATTGGGATTTTGAATTTCCTCGCCCATATTTACCTAATTTTGAGTTTGTAGGAGGACTGCACTGCAAACCTGCAAAGCCTTTACCCAAAGTAAGTCTATAAAGGGTAAGATCTTAGGTATTGTGTGATACAATAGTTGATTTTTCCTTCAAAGTTAACAACTTTAATAACAGAGATGTATTACTGAGAATATTTATTATGCTAGGGGAATTTATTGCTCTCATCACAGTTCCTCTTTCTGAACTATAGTGGATCATTTGGACTTGAGAATTTAAGCTTAGAGTGGATCCGGGGGAGAGGGAGTGGGTGGGGAGCTGAGAGGAGTGAACGGAAGGGAAACTGTGGTAGAGATGTATTGTATGAAAGAAGAGTCTATTTTCAATAAAGATTAAAAAGAGAGTAAAGGTGTATGAAAATGTCTGTGTCTCCATGGTGTGGATACTGTAATGGAGAATGGAAAAGTATAACTATAGATGGATCACCAGAAGGTCTGCTGAAGTGTCCTTGTGTGCCGGAAAGAGCTGTGAACAGGAACACCTTTCCCAACTGTTTAATAGAGAAAGATGCCTTCATGAGTGTCCTGATGAATTGTTTAGGATTTGATGAATAAGACATGGTGGTGACCTGTACTGTCATAGAAGTGACAAGTATGGTAGCTCCACGAAAGGATGAAGATGATGACTACAGGTTTTAACATAATCTCATTAAGGAGATAAAGGGATATTTCAGATGATTTTTAGAGGATATTTGGTTTGATCAACAAACAGTATTTATTTCAGACTGAGACTTGTTTAAATCAAGTAAAAACAATAAAATAGTTACGTTCATCACACATGATAATAATTCTAAAAGTCTGGATGTCTGTCTTCAATTATGTTTATCCAATTCAACAAACATTTCATTTTCTTTCAGTTAAACGTGGTGTCATGTCAACTTAAAAAGAGAGGTGTTGTCCCTATTTTCTGCTCCCTTCTATGGAGACTTGGTGTCATATTAGTTCTTGTATATACTTTATGCATTTTTCATAAACATGTTTCCTCATACAGTTACTCTGTGGTGTCACATGGAATGGGACAGACAAACAAAAAAATCTCTTTGACCCTTAGTTCCATGTTTCATATATAGAACTATATATAGAATATATAGTTCCATATTTTAAGGGAACAAAATTTCACCTAATGATTCAACACATTTTCATTAGAATGTTATGTTTGCAGGAAATGGAAGAGTTTGTCCAGAGTTCAGGAGAACATGGTGTTGTGGTGTTTTCTCTGGGATCAATGGTCAAAAACCTGACAGAAGAAAAGGCCTGTCTCATTGCCTCAGCCCTTGCCCAGATTCCTCAGAAGGTCAGTACTGCCCTAGATTCTGGGGACCAGAACTGCTTCTGACAGACTCTAGAATGTAACTGGTAGTGGTACTTGCATGTAAAAGCTGAAACTTGTCAGCCACTGAACACATGCATTGTTAGCTTTCAATAATTAGCTATACAACATAAAAATGATATTTTTAGACGTTTTGCCTTACTATCCAGTTACTGTGAAAATATAGACTTACATATTCATTTTCTACTACTAGAATAGAGAAGAAAACGTTAGGCTACTTCTAAAACTATTTGGCCTGGATTGACTGCCACTGACGTTTTGAAATTTGATTTGCCAGCATAAAGAGTATACCCACTTTAAGGAAATCGTGCTAAAACTATATTCCGATTTTCTGAATCACATTAAGTTCACAGGGAAATATAGGTGTCACAAGTAAAAGCCTAGAGTTTATTGTTCTTTTTAAATCAAATATTCTACAGTTGTAAAATCAAATTCAAATATTATTTTAAAATACAAAGTTTCTTATAATTTATGACAGTTAATTTTATAATTTATCATTATAATTCTTCAACTCAAGTCACTATTCATTCCTACTCATGGAATAATCTAGAATCAATCATGCATTATTTAGTATCCATATGATTGTATAAAGGTATTATGCTGATAGGCATCTCAAAATTTGTGGCTTTTATGCATACCCTTGTCTCAATCTTTCTCATTTAGAAATAAAACCTTGTCTTGTTACTCCAAAAATAAGTTTTCAAAAAGTGATTTTTAGTTATCCCTCAAAAAAATGAGTCAAACAAAAAGTGGAAGAATGATATAGGCATTGAGATATAAAATGGTAAAAGAGAAAGGTAAGAGAAAAGGAAAGAATAGAGGAAGGAAAATAAGGAAAGGAGGAGGTAGAAAGTGTGAAGGGAAAAGGAAGAAAAGATGATGGTAAGCAAACAAACACTGGCCTCCAAACCAGAAGCTCACATCAGTCATTGGGAAGCACCTATCTGCCAGCCCCGCCCATCCTTGCTCCTGCCTCACTACTGGCCAGCTGTTCCACTCTTTATTAGGACCACCAGGTGTTTTAGACAGACACAGTAATACAGCTTCTCAGAATTAAACAAATGCAATAGAAACAAAGGTCACACATCTTTACATCATTAGACAAATGTTCCACAGCATAAACAAAAGCAACACACTTTAAAATAATCTACCATACATTGTCTTCCACAGGTTTTGTGGCGATACAAAGGGAAGACACCAGCCACATTAGGATCCAATACACGGCTGTTTGATTGGATTCCCCAAAATGATCTTCTTGGTAAGACTCTGGGGCTAGATAAATCTTTGTAGACAAGAAACAAGTTAAGCAATTACTTAGCATCAAGTCAGTTGAAAACATCCGGTAATTTTAAACTTTCCTATATTACCTCCAGTTTTTCTTTTTTGATAGTACTGGTTACTTACTCCAGGACAGAATGCACACAAAGCAAATGCTCCACTGCTGAGCCACACATTGCAGTTCTTCACCTCCAGATTTAAGACAGATGCAATTAAACTGTGTAGATCCACAGTTTCCCCATGCACAAGAGGAAATCTAAAGAATCTCATCGACCTTCAAGTTTCCATCAGATGTGAGACATTTTACATCTCTGTAACACCTTTAGACAACGAAAAAGAGTTCATTTCTCCTTTCTCTGGGAGTATAGTTTCCTGGAATAGTAATGCCTCATATGCTCAACATTGACAGAAAATAGTGCCTTATAATGTAACACTTTGTCCCTTCTACTTCTTAACTTCTGTCAACTAATTAGTCTTAAGACTATATCCATTCCTTCCTTTGTCCTTGAAATAGGACATCCCAAAACCAGAGCTTTTATCACTCATGGTGGAACAAATGGAATCTATGAGGCCATTTACCATGGGATCCCTATGGTGGGACTCCCCATGTTCGCTGATCAACCTGACAACATCGCTCACATGAAGGCCAAGGGAGCAGCTGTGGAGGTGGACATGAACACAATGACAAGTGTAGATCTGCTCAATGCTCTGAGAACAGTCATCAATGTCCCATCGTAAGTGTTGAAGTTTTATAAGTCCATCCGTCATAGTCAGGCTGTTCATTGTTTTGGAATATGGCCAAAATTTCGTGCTTTTGAATTTGATTTAAACTCAAGTAACCAGAGACAAATGTAAACACAGCTTCTTTAATTTTTAACTATCCTAAAAATTGAAAATACACCTGCTTTAGATAGTCAGTCACTATATCTTCCACCTATAATATTATTAGCATGTATTCCTATATAGTTTTTATTTTATAAACATAAATAAGAAATTAAGCCTTATAAACCATTCAGCATAGACAAAATGGAAGTGAAAATGTTCTCAACATTAATCATACATAAATAACAATTGACGCAGTGTGACTAATAATTAATGTTAATACTTCTGAGTATTTTGCAATTCTCTGAACATTATAAAACTCTTAATTAAGAAACAGAATTATGGGTTAGAAAATATCAGTAATGCTTAGTATGAAATTTTATCTTTCATAAATGTTTAATTGCTGGTAACTTGGCTCATTTTATTAAATGTTAAAGTAGGGAAGTCTATTGGCCTCTCAGGCATCAGTCTGGGATTCAAGAGCTCCCCCTTATCCAGTCAGCTGTCTTTGTGGGTTTCACCATCATGGTCTTGACCCCTTTGTTCATCACTCCTCCATCTCTGTCACTAGGTTCCAGCAGTGCAGTACAGTGTTTAGCTGTGGGTATCTGTCTCTGCTTCCATCAGTCACTGGATGAAGGTTCTAGGATGGCATATAATGTTCATGGGGACTGGTTTGGTCCTATGTTGGTTAAGCTTAAATTTAGTAGTTTCTAGCTGTTGAAACTACTTCCTCTGAAATGGATGAACTATGTAAAACTTCATCTTGTTATGGTTGTAAGAACTTAGTTTGGATCAGATTTCTGCAATAAAGTTTTCAGTGCTTATGTTTGCAAAAAAGTAGGGAAATTTATGATTCTTTTCAGCTCAACTGCACAGACTGGTCACTAGATTTTATGCTGGATTTTTAAAACCACTTATACAAGAAAATAGAATCACAGCCACTGTCATAAAATTCCACCTACATACTAAAATACATGTCATTTGAAATATCACATAAACTCCAACCCTAATACCACTACTGATAATACCTAAAATCACAAGGATGTGTAATTTGCATTCCAGTATCTAATTTCAAAAAATTAAAAGTATGAAAGACTATGTATTAATGTTTGAATGATAGTGATTTTAATTATTTGGAATATTCTGAGAGTCATATTACATTACTTTTACAATGTGAAATGGTATGTGAATATGGTCATTGAATAACTTGCCTTATTTATAATAAAAATGACAATTTTTGGTATTCATAAAAATGCTATCCATCAAACATGCAATTTTTAAAGTTAAAGTAGTTATTGAAAATATTAACCAAAACTTTTATTCATGAATAAAAAAAAACCTTTACTTAAAATCCATTGGAATGAACATGTAAACTACTACATTTAAGTGGCCATAGTTCAACACAACTGAAAACAAGTAGATACTTTTTTTTAATGGATGGGGAACACGGCGAGGGGTAGGGGGGGAGTGGGAGCTGGGAAGAAGGGAAGATGAGGGGGTGAAGAGGAAGAGAGTTGGTCATGGGGGAACAGGAAGTTGAGTGGGTGGGGGTAGAATAGGGGGAAGAGGGAATCATAGGATAGAAGACAGATCAGGCACCAGAATGACCTCGAGTGATCTAAAGGGATAACACCAATTGGCAAGCTAAGCAATAGTGGAGAGACCACCTCGAATGCCCATTCCTGATAATGAACTTGATGTCTATAACCATCCGGGAGCCTTCATCCTGTGACTGATGGAAGCAGAGGCAAACACACAATTAATCACTGAACTGAACCCAAGGAACCCAGTGACAGAGAGAGAGGAGTGATGAGCAAATTGGCAAAGAATGGGCTGGCAAAACCAGCAGAGACAGCTGATCTGAACAGGGGAGAGCTCTTGGACCCCAGACTGACAGTGGGGAGGCCAGCATGGGACTGATCTGGACCCCCAAATGTGAGTGTCAGTGAGAAGGCCTGGGCAACCTATGGGGCCCTGAGCTGTGGATCAGTGTCTATCCCTGGAATACAAACAGTCATCGTGTGCCTATAGCACAAAGAGGGATGCTCTCTCAGCCTGAACTCTTAGAGGAGTGCCTGGACCCTACCCAGAGTAAAATGACAGACTCTAGATATCCCCTATGTGGAAGGATTTGGCAATAGGGTGGGAGGGTGGGGGGGAAGGGGAGTGCGGGAGGAGGGGAGGGAGAGGGAACTGGGATTGACATGTAAAACAAGGTACTTAAAATTAAAATAAAAAATGATAAATAAAAGAAAAAAATAAAGTAAACAAGTAGATACTTTTAATATCATATTTTTATTTTTTGAGAATCTTATGCATTTATATGTGATATTTTGATCATACTCATCTTATATCCTCCCCCAACTCTTCCCAGATCCACTCCTTCCCACTTCTTGTCTGATTTTTTTTTAATAAGCCACTTTGCGCTGTGCACGTACGCATGTGTTTGGGTTTATCCACTGGAGCATCGTTAACACAGGAGAAGCCAAACCTTTAAAGAAAACTGACCTTCCCTTCCGTATCTGCTGTCACGTGCCACAGCTCTTCCACTATTGTGCACGAAGAAGAATATATGTAAATAAGACCCCACAGAGGCTCTTGAACACCCAGCTCCATTCACTTTTCCCTAGCACTAAGGATGTCTTCAAAGCAACAGGACATCGCTTCCCAAACCACATTACTTTCCTCATGTCCATGAATATACTCTGGAAGTTTACGCAATGATCAAACTTAAGTGAAATTTATTAATTCTTCATTAGTTACTGAGAAACTCCAAGAGAAAACATAAGTTGCTTTCCACATATTTATCTCTCTCTGTTGTTTGTTTTGGGTTTTTTTGGGGAAGGGGTGGGCTCTGGATGCTGTTTGAGAAAAGTTAAAACTGTTAGGTCTGTATAAAATGTTCTTGCGATTAAAAAAATCTATTAGTTAAATATGTATCACTTTTAAAAATGTTCCTTTGTGCATTTTTTCAAGTTATAAAGAAAACGCCATGAGACTATCAAGAATCCACCATGATCAACCAGTGAAGCCCCTCGACCGAGCTGTCTTCTGGATTGAGTTTGTCATGCGCCACAAAGGAGCCAAACACCTGCGTGTGGCAGCACATGACCTCAGTTGGTTTCAGTACCACTCTCTGGATGTGATTGGGTTCCTGCTGGCTTGTATGGCATCTGCTGTATTCTTGGTTGCAAAATCTTGTTTGTTTGTATTCCAAAAGTTTGTTAAGACAGGAAAGAAGAAAAGGGACTAGATCAGGGAAAAGACCACAAAGGTCTCTCTGGGTTTGCTAAAGAACTAAATGTAGTAGTCCTACTACTTAGAGGTACCTGGAGCTGTCAATCACCCATCCTCATTCCATTTTCAAGCATCACATTGCTAAGCTAGCCTGAAAGTAAATTCTAAGATGCAACCTAATCATATTTTCCTAAACGTGCCTTATATCTCCCTTGCTACTTCAGTGACAGTCCTAGCACTATTGCTTTAAATATGTTCTTTCCAGGATGTTATTTAAAATATAAAAAAATGATAATTGATAGCATTCTGTGTGGGAAGGCACACAGGGTATATTGAATTTTACTTAAGAGTCACAGGGGTCACATACATGGGGACTCATGGATCACACAACTGGAGCTCTAAGCACTGGGATTAGTGTACTGTGAGAAGGTTCATCGTTTTCTTTTTTAAATAAAGACCAGTTTTTGTGATTCTCTGATATCCCAGACATTAGAGGATGAACTAAAGACTGTGATAGCATAGCGAAATAGGAAAAGTATATAAAAATGATAGCACCTTTCAATTGTGATGGGCTAGTCTCCTGCTGTTTACTGAAATATATATATGTTTATGTTGTCCTGTGAAAGGTTTTAGAGACTGTCTTTGAGAGAGGAAGGGATGAACTAAGCCATTGGTTTTTTTTTTTCTCTCAGATAATCATTGCCAACAATATTTGAAAGGTTACGTCTAGAAAAAGTAAAAACCTATGTAATATTGAAAACTGTAGTAATTTCTTAAATTTTAACTTGCAGTGCTTGTAATAGTTCTCTGTAATCCATTATACATAAAAATCATATTGCTCATAATCTATAATGACTATGTATAGTCAAATGTTTAATTTTCTGCAAAAATAAATACTTATATTGACATTACTGTGCTATTTCCTAGTCTCCATTTTCTATAAACTTATAATTTAACCATAACTGTAAGTATGTATTAGGTTATCAAATTTACTGAGATGACAGGTGTCTAAATTAAGGAATAGGGTACTTATATTGACATAGAAGAGGCCTGAAGTGATAGAATTGATGCTAGGATGGATTTACTAATAGATTTGCTTAAGGAGCATTGACTAACACAAAGGAAAAATTCAGCTAAAGGAGTGCTGCCTCCAGGGTCAGTAGTGCACAACCCAGACCTGTTAGAGACCAGCAATGTCTAAGATGCTAGGAGACTGAGGTTTGTTCATCATGATTAACCTCTAATTAAGCTCCATTCCCATAACAATGGAGACATCCTGACTCACAACCAGCACTCAGGCTCATCCTCCTATCCCAAACATACCTCAAAGGAGAAGCTTAAGTATGTCTAGTAATGAATTGAGACTCTACAGGTATCACTCTGTCTGGCTCTCTCCGGTGGCTACAAATCATCCACATGTAACCTCATGCTAATTAATTTTCACTCTTACCTACTTTAACAATGAAGATGCTGAGATGTGAAAACTATAACTAGAAATGTTTGTATCTTTTCTCCAGTTATAACACACAATAAGAGAATTGCAGATAGAATTAAAAAGAAACAAATATTATGTAAAAATGTGTGGTGGAAGGGGCATTTTAAGTAGCCAAAATGTCTCATAATCCAACTCAACAACATATGTATGGTACTGCCAATACTCAAACAACAGAACTTGCATATTCCCTCTGAGAAAACTTGGATGTAAAAGTTAGATGAGAAGGGGATATTAGTATCACCTTTGATACATAGAAAATATATTTCAACACTATTCAGCACAGCACATTAGAAATGATTATTAATAACAATGGCTATTATAACTGCCTATGGAAAATAGACATCGGTGCTGTTTTTACTGCACCTTGACTATATAATCACACTGAAAATCAAATAAACAATACTGTACAGATTTGTGCCAATGCTTTCTGAAGGAACAGCTCAGTGTTTAAGACCACAGGTTGCTCTTACAGAGGATCTGAGCTGTGTTAACAGCATTCAGGTTGAGCAGTTCACAACTTCCTGGGATTGTGACAACCTCATCTAGAACCCACAGTACCTGAATTCATGTGCAAGCATTCCCACCGAAGCACACACATATACATATGAGTAAATCCTTAAATTTTTATCAATGCACTTCAATTGTATTAATATCTTCAAAAAGAAAAAGAGTTGTGGATATGTATAATTTTAAGAAAATGGGGAGGTTATTAAATGCATGATCTGAGACAAACTGATTTTTCTCATATATTCACCAGCTTTTGAAAATTCATTGATGACATCCTCAAAATAGATAATTCTTGCAATTTGTATATCATGCTGACAGATGCATAATTGTATGACTGCAGATATACAATCAACCATTATACCTCCCTGCCACAGTTTCTCCTCCCTTCACTCCTCCCAGTACTCCCTACTTCCCATCTTCCCCAGATCCTCTCCCCTTACACTTCCCTTCAAAAAACAGCTGGCTTCCAAGAAACAACAGCAAAACACAAGATTTCTATTTCATTAGGGATTATATGTCTGTTTAAATTGCTTATCTGTTCTTGATTAAATTTTCACAAGTGATATCTATCCAGAAAGTTGTCCATTTCCTTTAAATTTTCAAATTTTGTAGAGTACAGGTTTTCAACAATCCTGATGACTCTCTGGATTTCCTCACTATCTGCTGTTATGTACCCCTTTTATTTCGATTTTGTTAACTTGCATGTTCTCTCTCTGTCTTTTGGTTACTTTGGATACAGTTTTGTCTATCTTGTTGACTTTCTTGAAGAACCAACTCTTTGTTTCATTGATTTTTCGCAATGTTTTCCTGGTTTCTACTTGATTGATTTCAGCCCTCAATATGATTAGTTCCTGGTGTTTGCTCCTCCTGGGTGAGTTTGCTTTTTTGTTCTAGAACATTCAGTTGTGCTACTAATTCTCTAGTGTGACTGCTCTCCAGATTTTTCATGTGGGCACTTAGTGTTATGAACTTTCCTCTCAGCACTGCTTTCAGGGTGTCCCATAAGTTTGGGTATGTTGTGTCTTCATTCTCATTGAATTCCAGGAAGTCTTTAAATTCTTTTTTATTTCTTCATTTACCCAAGGATAGTGCAATTGTGCACTGTTCAATTTCCACGAGTTTGTAGGATTTCTGCAATTTGTGTTATTGTTGAATCTAATTTTAATACATGGTTGTCTGATAAGATACAGGGGGCTATTCCAATTTTTTTGTATCTATGGAGGTTTGCTATGTTTCCTATTATGTGGTCAATTATAGAGAAGCTTCCATGTAGTGCCGAGAAAAGTTATATCCCCTTGTGTTTGGGTGGAATGTTCTATAGATGTCTATTAAACCCAGTTGGGTCATAACTTCTATTAGTACTTTTGTTTCTTTGTAAAGTTTATGTCTGGAGGTCCTGTCTAGCAGTGAGAGTGGAGTGATGAAGTCTCCTACTACTAGTGTGTGAGATTTTATTTGCGATTTGAGCTTTAGTAATGTTACGAATGTGGGTGCCTTTGTATTTGGGGCATAGATGTTCAAAATTGCGACTTCATCTTGATGGACTTTTCTTTTGATGAATATGAAATGTCCTTCTTTATCTCTTTTGATTGATTTTAATTTGAAACCATACCTGCTTGTTTCTTGGGTCTGTTTGATTGGAAAATCTTTTCCCAACCTTTTACTCTGAGGTAGCGTCTGTCTTTGACGTTGAGATGTGTTTCTGGTATGCAGCAGAAGGATGGGTTCTGTCTTCATATCCATTCTGCTAGTCTATTTCTTTTTATAGGCATGTTGATACCGTTGACATTGAGGGATATTAATGACCATTGATTGATGATTCTTGTTTGTGCTTGATATATTGGTAGTGGAGTTATTGTGTGTAGGGTCTCCTCACTTTTTCTTTTGGTGTTTGGTAAAGTAAGATTATCTATTGCCTGAGTCTTTGTGAGTGTAGTTATCTTCATTGGGTCTAGGTTTTCCTTCCATCACTTTCTGTAGAGCTGGATTCATATTGTGTAAATCTGGCTTTGCCATGGAAAATTTTGCTTGATCCATCTATGGTAATTGAAAGCTTTGATGGATATAGTAGTCTGGGCTGGCATCCTAGTTCCCATAGCATTTGTAGGACTCCTGTCCAGGATCTCCTGGCTTTCATAGTTTCCATTGAGAAGTCAGGTGTAATTTGGATAGGTCTGCTTTTATATGTTACTTGGCCTTTTTATTTAGCTGCTCTTAACATTTTATATTTATTCTCTATGTTTGATGTTTTGATTATTATGTGATGAGGTGACTTCTTTTTCTGGTCCAGCCTATTTGGTGTTCTGTAAGATTCTTATATTTTCATAGGCATATCTTTCTTTAGGTTAGGGAAGTTTTCTTCTATGATTGTGTTGAATATGTTTTCTGTACATTTGAGCTCCACTTCTTTGCCTTCTTCTATACCTATTATTCTCAGGTTTGGCTTCTTCATGGTGTCCCATATTTCCTGGATATTTTGTGTTAGGTATTTTTTGGTTTTGAAATTTTCTTTGGCTGATGACTGTATATCCTCTAATGAATCTTCAACACTTGAGATTCTCTCTTCTATCTCTTGTATTATATTGGTGATACTTGCATCTGTAGTTCCTGATCATTTACCCAGCTTTTCTATTTCCAGCATCCCCTCATTATGTGTTTTCTTTATTGTTTCTATTTCATGTTTCAATCTTTCAATTGTTTGAGTTGTTTCCTTCATTTGTTTGGTTGTTTTTTATTGGTACTCTTTAGATTCTTTCAGAGATTTGTTTATTTCTTGAATTTTTTTGGTTCACCTTTTCCCCCATTTCATGTATTTTTGTTTGTTTTTTCTTCTATTTCTTTAAGGGATTTCCTCATTTGCTCTTTGAGGGTCTCTCTTCATAAAATAATTTTTAAGGTCTGTCTCTTCTGCTTCGTCTATGTATTGCTTTTCAGGTCTTGCTTGCGTTGGGTCACTAGATTCTGGTGGAGTCATGTTGGCCTTTCTATTAGTGAGGGAGCTCTTACTCTGTCTTCCCATCTATTCTTCCAGTGGGTGCAGGTGGGTCATTTCTGTCTTCACTGGTCTCCTTGTTTCCTGAATCTGAATCTGAAGCTGGGGTCTCTGGAGGCTGGGGCATGGAAGGGCTGATGCCTTTCCTGTGTGAGCAGGTCCTCGGGATGCCAAGAGCAGGGTCCCAGGAAGATTGAGGGGATGGGTGATGGGCAGGGGATGGGGTGTGGCCCCAGGGAGACCCAAGCTCACCTGAAGCTGGGGTAGCTAGAGGTAGGGTCTGGAAGGGCTGATGCCTTTCCTGTGTGTGTGGGTCTTCTGGGTGCTATGAGTAGGCACCGGAAGACTGAGGGGATGGGTGATGGGCAGGGGATTGGGAGTGGCCCCAGGGAGACCCAAGCTCACCTGAAGCTGGGGACACAGGAGGTTAGGGGGTCTAGAAGGACTGATGCCTTTCCTGAAGCTGAAGCTGGGGACCCAAGTAATGTTTCTTTTACGAATGTGGATGGCTTTGTATTTGGGGCATAAATGTTCAGAATTGAGACTTCATCTTGGTGGATCACTCCTTTGATTAGTATGAAGTTATCTCCTTCACCTCTTTAGATTGATTTTAGTTTAAAGTCTAATTTATTAGATATTAGGATTGCTACCACTGCTTGTTTCTTGGGTCCATCTGTCTTTGGACATATTCAGCAACATCTGTCTTTGAAGCTGAAGCATGTTTCTTGTATGCAGCAGAAGAAGGGATTCTGTTTTCAGATACATTCTGTTAGTCTGTGTCTTTTTATGTTAGTTAAGACCATTAATATTGAGGGATATTAATGACCATTGATAGCTCATTCTTGTTTGCTTTGGAATGGTTGGTGGTGGTGGAATTGTATGTGGATTTCCACCACTTTTTCTTTTGCCTGTTGGTA